ATTATTCTCTCTCATGTTTCTATCTTTCTCCCCTTCCCTTCCTCTCTGAAATCAATAAAAAAATATTTAAAACCAAAAAAAACCTCTTTCCTGTAGGGAATTGAGGTTCCACAGAGGTTGGTGGAAGGGGCAATTAATAAATGAATAAATCCAATTTACAGGATGCCAAAAGGATAGCAGGAAGAGAGAGTGGAGTGCATGTGTGAATGGGAGGGGGCTGAAAATTTACAGGAGCTCAGAAAGGACTCACTGTAAAATTGGGGCTTTGGTGACATCTGAGCAAAGTCTTGAAGGAGTTAAGGGGCCAGGAGTGTGCATATTTGGAGAAAGATTGTTTTCTGGGCCGAAAAAACAGCCAGTGCAAAGGCCCTGAGGCAGGAGAGTCTGCCTCGTGTGTCAGAGGAGCAGGGAAGAGCCTGTATGGCTGGAATAGAGTGAGTGAGAGGGAAAGTGGGAGGAGATAATGGCAGGAAAGGGACAAGGGAGGTCATTCAGGGCCTTGTAGGTCACAGGGAGGACTTCAGGTTTTTAAAAAATATATATTTATTATTGATATCAGAGAGGAAGGGAGAGTAAGAGAGAGAAACATCAATGATGAGAGAGAATCACTGATTGGTTGCCTCCTGCATACCCCACACAGGGGATCTAGCCTGCAAACTGACCGTGTGCCCTGACTGGAATCAAACTTTGACCTGTTGGTTCATAGGTAGACACTCAACCCCTAAGCCAGGCCTTGAGCTTTTATCTGGAGGGAGGGAGGAGTCCTGGAGGGCTGTGAGCAGAGGGGCTGGACCAGTCTCAGGGGCTCACAGGTGACTCCTGGCTACAGTACGCGGAAAAGACTACTACCCAGCATTATGTTACTACTCCAATCTTCAGATGAGAAAACTTAGGCTCAGGAAGGTGAGTGACTTGGCCAGAGTCACAGGGGCCAGGGGTTTACCTGGAGATGGAATTCACAGGTACAAGCATTGCCCCATGCTGGCTCCCTGGGTCCCCGCCCTTCTCTAGACCTCTGTGTTTGTACCTCTCTCTATTATTTCGCTTTAGGGCAAGCAAGCATGTCAAACTTAGGGCCTGTGGGCCACGTGCAGCCCACAAGGAATATTTCTGTGGCCCAGCCAATATCACGGTATGTAAGAAACGTTTTAATAAAAATTTTATAATGTAATTTTTATAATATCCTGTTATACATAATTATTAATAACAAACTACAACGTTCGCTAATGACTGATTGCTATAATTGTGTTGCATTCATTTCCCTTATGGGCCTTACGCACAGGTGCACCATTTCTCTCCACTAATACTAGCAGCGAATATTTTAGCAGCCGATTGCCATGACATTAGTCTTAGACTGACTTCTTTGTTCTGCACAATAGGAAATATTTCATGTTCAGAGAACTAGAAAAATAGGCTTATTTGCATTACGCTTATTAATTTGTGCAGTTATTAGTGTCTGGTAAGTTAATGTTCAAGAAAAAATGTTGATTTTCATTAAAATGTTCTCTTATTTTATGTTAATGATTACTCATTTATTTCAGCCCTTTGCATTCAGCATGTCTCTATCAAAACAAACCTACATTTCTATGAAAATTAAAACTTTTGCTTTTTTATGGTCCTCATACACTCACACCTTGTTCATTTGGCCCTGTTAGCCTTTGAGTTTGACATGCTTGCCTTAGAGTCTTTCCTAGTATCTCTTTCTGTCTCAGACTCTCTCTTAGTCTCTCCTTGAGTCTCTGCCCCAAGTGTGTCTGGGGGCCCGGCTGCCTGGTACCTCAATGCTGACGATAACCTTCCGGTCCACATCTGCCCCTCCTCACAACAGAGCCTGAGCCTCACTCCTGCCTGGTCTCTCTGGTTTGCCTGGGTTTGGGGAGAGGAGGGTACTCAGAGAGGGGTCAAGGGTAATAGACGGGCTAGGAGTCAGAGAGAGGAATGGAAAGGGGATCAGAGAAGGGGCTCAGAGGATGGAGGGCTCAGTAGTGGAAGGGGGCCCAGAAAGGGGAGGGGACTCAGAGAGGGGAGGGCCTTGATGGAAGAGAGGGCTTGGAGGGGAAAGGACTCTGTAAGGAGGGGTATAGAGATTGTTTGGTTTGCAAGGAAGGGGCTCAGAGTGAGGGAGGGGATTAGAAGGGGGCGGGGCCAGTAGAAGGAGGGGCCCAAATGGGGAGGGGAATTAAAGAAGGGAAGGGCTGCCCTGGCTGGTGTTGCTCAGTTGGTTTTAGCTTGGATCTGTGCACCAAAAGTTCCCCAGGTTTAACTCCTGATCAAGGCACATGCCCAGGTTTTGGGTTTGATTCCCCAGCCAGGATGTGTACTGGAGGCAACTGAGCATGTTTCTCTCTCTCTCTCTCTCTCTCTCTCTGCTTTCTTCTTGGTGAAAGCATATTCTCATGATAATTAAAAAAACGAAGGGCTTAAGAAGGGGCAGGGCTCATAGGTGAGGCTCTGGAATGGGAAGAAGACCCACAGGGGGCGGGGCACCCACAGGGCGACTCCAGAGTGCACCCACCTTGATGGTGACGGTGCTCAGGTAGCCATTGGCGCTGTTCAGAATGGTGTCCTTGCTGGACAGCACCTCCTTCTTTCCTGGGAAGTCGTGTACCGTAACCTTGACTGGATATTCACCTGTCCCACCGTGGGCCTCGAGCACCACTGTCTCCTCATTCTCCAGCCGCAGGATGTTGGGAGTGATTATGGAGAACCTGTGGGAAGAGTGCACCGGGTCATCCCAGGGAACTGACATTCTAGCCTGCACAGGGGTTTTCCCAGTCCTTGGTCCTGCAGGTCCCATCAACCCCTGAACCTCAAAATCAGAACCAGCAAGTCCCCCAAATATTTAGAGTTCCAAGACAGTTGGGGAACCCACATACAAACTCCTGAAACCCTGATCCCTAAATCTTTAAACACCATAAGTCTCTAAAAACCCAGAAGCTCAGGCACCTCAACTATACATACCCAAGCTCACAAATACCAAATCTTTGAACCCCAAATCCTTGAACACCCCAAGAGTCTATCTAAACCTTTATCACCTAGCCCTATAAACACAACTAAATCCACCCCCACCCCCAGCCAACATAACCCCACGCCACACCTCTACACACGTTGAAACCCATAAATCCAGAAGCTGCAACCTCCCAAATCATGTAAAGTCAAACCACCACATCCACAGAATCCCCAGACACCACCTGCACTCTGAACCCACAGACCCCCAGCTTCATAAACATCCACACACCCCTCTACACAATGCCTGGATTTCACAAACACCCAACCCACAGACTCTCAAAGTCACAGGCAGCCCCATCTATTAGCATTCCAGCCCACTAACTCCTCCTCCACAGGCATAATGCGCCCTGAATTCTACAAGGACCTGAACCCACAAATGACCACTCCACCTCGAAGTTGCCTTGCTTGGGGCAGGGTCAGGACTACTCACATGGGGTCCCCCAGGACCAGGGGGAGACTGCTCAGCAGCAGTAGCAGCAGGCTGGGACCTGAGGCAGGTCCCATGGTACAGGGATAGTGGAGGGACAGAGGGACAGAGGGACAGAGGTTCGGAGGGAGAGGACAAGGAGGACTGAGCAGAGGCTGCTGGAGTCCTCCTTTTATCTGGCTCCCGCCTTTCCCGGACTCAGCCCAGCCCTCTACTCCCCATGGCCTCTCCCCTCCCTGGGGCTGCCCCAGATTTCTCAATAGTTTCCTAATTCCCTGGGTCAGCAAGTCATTGGGTAAATAACCTGAGGACATACAACAGGAGCACAAGTGCCCTCTGCCCTGGCCTTCCTCAGGGGCAAGGCCAGGAGTGAACAGGGACCTTTCCCTGTTACACCCACATTGTAGTGGAGGAACTCTGAGAGCAACGGATGCCCCCACCTCAGAAATCTGGGCTTTGCCCAGTCCAGTTTCATCCATGCACTTATTAACCAAATCCTTCCTCGGAGTCAACTTTCAGAGTCTTCCATGCTGAGGTAGAGTGGGGAACAGACTCCAGCACAGACACTCCTAGGCATCTGTAGTGTGATCTCAAGTGGAGAAGAACTATGCTTCTTAGAGGTCAGAGAAGGTTTCTTTGGGGAGCGAACATTTCAGCTAGGCTTTGAAGTATGCATAGGAGTTCACTGTCCAGGTGAGCATGTTTTATAGGGCAATAGGAGCATGGAGAGCCCTTCACCTACACTTCTCAGGATGCCTGAATAGCTATGATGATTTAAAAAATAATTTTTGTGGACCATTGCTAGTTTTTGTATTTGTCTTATATCAGCATCCTCTTAGGATATTATTATTAAAAAGTATATTTATTTTTTGTGTGTAATTGGTAATATATTGATATGATTTAACACCTAAAAGGTTGAATATCTAATCTAATAAAAGAGAAACATGTAAATTGACCATACCTCTGCTATGTCCAATCCACGCCCACCAGCCAATCGGTGACTATATGCAAATTAACCCAACCAAGATGGCGGCCAGCAGCCACGGAGCTGGAGCAAGCAGGAGGATTGGTTTCCCAGGCGATGAAGGAAGCCAAGCCTCCCGCCTGCCATGGCCAGCTCTGGCCTCCGCTGAAGGCAACAAAGATTCAATTATAGAAGATAAATAAACCCCAAATACCTGCTTCCAGCCATCCTCCACTGGGAGCTTAGGTGGCTGGGGGCCGTGGCCAGCTTGCAAACAGCCATCAGCCCGTCATCCAGGCTGGCCAGGCACCCCAGTGGTGGCCCCCCACACTGAAGGGGCTGTGGCCAGCCTGCAAACACTCCTCACCCCCTCACCTAGGCTGGCTAGGAATCCCAGCAGGACCCCCACCCTGGTTCAGGACACCCTTCCAGGCAAACCAGCCGGCCCCCACACATGCACCAGCCCTCTGTCCTATATAATAAAAGGGTAATATGCAAATTGACCCTAACAGTAGAACAACTGGGAATGACTGGTCACTATCACACACACTGACCACCAGGGGGCAGAAGCTCAATGTAGGAGCTGTCCTCTGGTGGTCAGTGCGCTCCCACAGGGAGCCAGGCTGATGGCTGCCAGTACAGTGGTGGTGGCGGGAGCCTCTCCTGCCTCCTCAGTAGTGCTAAGGATGTCTGACTGCAGCTTAGTCCTGCTCCCCGCTTAGTCCTGGCAAGTGGGCATCCCCCGCGGGATCCAGTGCTGCCAGAGGGATGTCTGAGTGCCAGCTTAGGCCCGTCTCCTGGGCTGCTACCAGCCATCCAGGTCTTAGACATGACCATGTAATAAAGGATCATGATTCCTTTCCACAGCTATCATTTGCATTTACAAATGTCTAAATGTTGTCAGAACTAATATTGGCATGCTCTGCATACAGTCCTTCTAGTACCCCTGAGTCATACCTTCTTTCTAAATAAACAACTAGAGACTGTGGTTTAGTAGTGCACAGAGAACTTTTTCTTAAAAGGACTACCTCACAGTACATTGTTTGAAAGTCACCAGCCTCCAACTGATGGACAGACTTTCTCAGATTGCAAACCATACTCTTGCCACTTAGATTTAAAATGGCCGTGGAGTAAGTTAATGCTGCACTGACACGATCCCAGGATCAAACTGGAATTTCAACTAAAATATGGAAAAACTTACTGAATAATCAACAAAGACTCACTGGAGAGAACCCTGATAACTGAGGATGGAAAGTGGAGACCACATAGGGACTGGTAGGAGGCAGGAGGTGCAAAAGGACTGGCCAGGCTCCCACAGACAGCAAATGAAGTTCTGCAGAGATATCTCAGCTGTGGAGGCAGGGGGTGGTGGGGAGTAGAGTTGGGGGAGGGGTTGGATTAAATCCCCAAGCTGTGAAAAGTAGAGGGGTTGCTGTCTGATAGGGAGAGAAGGCTGGAAATTCAGGCACCCTCATAAAGGGCCAATTCACAAAATTCCTGTAGAGCCACTCACCTTGTGCTCTGGAAGAGGTAGGACAGAGTAAACTGGAGTGTGGGAGCAGGAGACAGGGTTGGGAGCTCTGGGTTTAGAAGTCAGAGGGCAGATACCTCAGTTTCCTGTGCTGAGTCATTACCTTATGCTGTTGAGGTCATCTCTCTAATGCAGACAACTGCTATCTAGGTGGTTTGGCATGGGGCAAAACTTGGAAAACACCTAGCCCCACAATGTGGTGTTTCTGGGGCTCATTAAAAGAATGATAATAACAAATATCCTCCTGGCAGAAGCAATTGCCCCACCCTTTTGGAAAAAACTCTCACTAAACCTGTAGACAATTGCCTGAGGGCTAGTGAAGAATAAACCCAGTCAGTCTGTAGGCATAGGCAGTCTCTAGAGACTTTGAGTCTTTGCTTGATCTCATTAGTCAGAAATAGCTTTTGACACTGTCCTGCACTAGAGATTGAGAGGCATAGACAATCTACCTAATACATAGTCACAAACCCAAACAGGCAGCCAAAATGAGGACACAAAGAAACAACACCCAAATGAAAGAACAAGAGAATTCTCTAGAAGAAGAGATAAATGAAATGGAGATAAGAAATTTATCTGATACTGGCCGAAACCGGTTTGGCTCAGTGGATAGAGCGTCGGCCTGCAGACTGAAGGGTCCCAGGTTCGATTCCCATCAAGGGCATGTACCTGGGCTGTGGGCACATCCCCAGTGGTGGGTGTGCAGGAGGCAGCTGGTCGATGTTTCTCTCTCATCGATGTTTCCAACTCTCTATCTCTCTCCCTTCCTCTCTGTAAAAAATCAATAAAATATATTTTTTTAAAAAAGAAATTTATCTGATACTGAACGGGATAGTTCAGAGTATCATTGGTAAAGGTGCTCAACAGCATAAGAGAAGACACAGTAATTGTGAAAACAGAAATAAAGAATGACATAGCACAAATTAAGAACACATTGGAGAAATATTCAGCAGATTAGGGGAGTTGAGAATCACATCAGTGAAATAGAAGACAGGGTAGAAAAAAATCACTCAGTCAGAGAAGCAAACAGAAAAAATAATTAAAAAACAGGCAGACAGCATAAGAGGGCTGTGGGATAATGTGAAACAATACTTGAATAGGTGGAGGCAGAAAGGGACAAAGGGATAGAGAACATGTTTGAAGAAATAATGGCAGAAAACTTCCCTACCTGATAAAGAAGTAAGTAACACAATTCAGGAGACACAGACAATCCCAACCAAGAAGAACCCAACAGACCCATGCCCAGAAACAATTAAAATGCCAAAATTAAAGTCAAAGTGAGAATCTTAAAGGCAACAAGAGAAAAGCAAACTGTTACCTACAAATGATCTCCCATAAGGCTGACACTGGGTTTCTCGGAAACTCTATAGGACAGAAAGGAATTGCATGTAGTACTCAACATAATGGGGAGCAATGATCTGAAACCAAGATTACTATAGCCAGCAAGGCTATCGTTCAAAAATAGATGGTGGCCGAAACCGGTTTGGCTCAGTGGATAGAGCGTCGGCTTGCGGACTGAAAGGTCCCAGGTTCGATTCCGGTCAAGGGCATGTACGTGGGTTGCGGGCACATCCCCACTAGGAGATGTGCAGGAGACAGCTGATCGATGTTTCTCTCTCATCGATGTTTCTAACTTTCTATATCTCTCACTTCCTCTCTGTAAAAAATCAATAAAATATATTTAAAAAAATAGATGGTGAAATAAGGAGATAACCAGCCAAAAACACGGCCAGAGGAGTTCATCAACACCAAGCCAGCATTACAAGAAATGCTAAAGGGACTGCTGTAATGAGAAGAAGAAACAGAGAGAGATAAACCTAGGCATACAAATAAAAATGGCAATAAATAAATACCTATCAATAGTAACCTTAAATGTAAATGAATTGAATGCTTCAATCAAAAGATATAGGGTAGCTGAATGGATACAAAACCTGACCCAGTTATATGCTGTCTACAGGAGACCTACCTCAGAACAAAAGACTCAGACAGGATGAGAGTTAAAGGATTGAAAAAAGCTGGGGTAGCAATACTCATATCTGAAAAAATTGACTTCAAAATGAAGGCCATCATAAGAGATATCAAAGATCACACATCATACTAAAGGAATCCATCCAACAAGAGGATATAACCTTGGTAAACACATATGCACCCAATACAGGAGCACCTAGATAGATAAAAAATCTTCTAGAAGATTATAAGGAAGAGAATGAGAACAATACAGTCATAGTAGGGGACCTTAACACCCCACTGACTTCATTGGATAGATCTTCCAGACAAAAAATTAACAAGGAAACAGTGACCCTAAAGGACACACTGGGTGAGATGGATTTAATTGACAATTATAGAACACTTTACCCCAAATGTGTAGAATGTACATTTTTCTCAAATACAGATGGCCATTCTCAAAAATAGACCACATGTGAGGACAAAAAGCAAGTCTCTACAAGTTCAAGAAGATTGAAATCATATCAAGCATTTACTCAGATCATGGTGAAATGAAATTAGAAATCAATTACAGGCAAAACACCCCAATAACATTCAAACACATGGAGGCTACAAGCATGTTATTAAACAATGAATGGGTTACCAACAAGATCAAGAAAGAAATAAAACCTTCTGAGAAACAAATGCAAATGAACACAAAACAATCCAAAGTCTCTGGGA